TAATGGCAGAGTCACTAAGTACAGCAGGTGCTAGAATACTCCATACAGTACAGTTTAGTAGCGGACTTCTGGCGCAAAGCTCGGTACGGTCAATTATCAATCGTGCAGAAATTGTGGTTCCGTACACAGGACTTGTCACCGAGCTATGCACTGGAACGTGGCCAGTTCTTCGAGATGGCGGACAGCAAGCAAGCAGCACAGTATTATCATGTAGCTAAAGAACCAGGAAGTACAGACAAGTGCCCCAACGCATACGCAGGGTAGCCACACAGCCATGAGAAAGCTTTCCACGATGGTAATGCAAGCCACGAGGCTCTTTGGAATCGATGCTAGTATTCCATGCACAGGGTTCTTAATAGGATAGAGACGTATACGGTATATAAGTAAATAGATAGAGCCAGATATGAGCACAGTGCTAGAAGAGTTATTACAGTATTGGGGGTGATAACCTCCACCATAACCTTCACCTTCACATTTGTAGCGGGCAAGCGCAGGTTGTTGTTGATGTTGTGATGCTGTGGCTTGCGTCCGATAAGACTTCCCCCTCCTCGGTCGCCCCAGCAGAGCTAGACTCCAGCTTCCCAGCTCCCAGCTCCGCCCCATCATCTGTGTGTGCGGTCTCCTCTTTTTTTCTTCCGTGCTGGCCCGTCCTCGGAGCTATCGTCCTGCCTTGAACCCGGTCCAGAGCCAACAATTGCCGTACTATTACCAAGGTACTGTATTATGGACAATAATAATAGCTTGCTGTCCAGCCCGGCAACACTGTTTACCTGAGAAATCAATACAGCGAAGCGCTGTACTGTTCTACTTCTCAGTTGACAATTGACACTGCTGGATGGTCCAATTCACCAGCCCAATGCAAATGCAACTCCAAGACTCACATACCGCGACTTCAGACACGACTCTAGGGGAGCACGAGGGCTGGGCGAGAGTGCCATTGTGGTGAGGCGGTGACCGGATCGGGGTTGTGTTTTGGGCAGTGGCCCCTTGCAGACCTGCCAACCCGCCAACCTGCCCACCTACCCAGCACCTACGGTAGCACCCACCCAAACACCGCTAACTTCCTGGTAATTTAACTCTAGATAACTTAAGATACCTCTCCCCTCTTGTCAACTGTCGCTCATTGCCCACCCCATCGCCCCTGGAGCAAAGATCGTCTCCCAACAACTAACACGGCTGTGGACCTGGCCTAACCTTCCGAAAATAACCCCTTCGGGTTCGTCTAAGGACCAAGGTGCTAATATCGCATTCCAAGATACTGTAAGACCATCTGCTATGTGAAAGTAGCCTCACATACGCATTGCATTAGAATTACTCTCCTTTTTCGCCTCACTTGGTTTTTTCACGCATTTCTTCAATTTCCTTTTTGGTATTTTGCCAGGTTTCTTTTCTTCTTCGGATTCTTACTGTACTCTGCAAACAAGAATCCAAATACAGATATTATATACGTTACAAGATGGTTAGAAGATAACCATTCAATTCACATCAAAAGCTGCGCTTCCTACGGCTTGTCACGCCACAATTGTTTGGAGACCTTCAAAATGATTAAGTCTTTTGCACATCCATACCTATGTCTGCATCGCCGCCAGGGCTTTCTCCACCTTGGGCCAGAAGCTGGTTCGCATAGTCGCTGCCAGCCAGTAGTTGTCCTGTCCGTCTTTCCCAAAAATCACGGCATTGCCTCTCAGTGAGAATGTTTTTACATAGCCAAAGGCTTGTATATAGCTGGGTCTCCCAGGCCTGCTGATTCTCTTTCCTTCTTCTTCCGCTCCCGGTCTGATTACCGCAGCAGAAAAGTCGATATCAAAAAACTTGGCTCTAGTCCAGTTAGTAATCGTCACTATAACTGAGCTGGTGTCGCCAAAGACAGGAGGATGACCACTAGACGCAATAGTAGTGCGACTTAAATTTGCGAAAGCCTCCGCTTGAGCACGGCTGCCTTGTTCAATAATGGACTGGCGGACAAGCGAGGCAACATGGCTTAGTGGCTTGGTAAGGACAGTGGTTGCATTCATCATAGCAAAGACATTTAGACAAGCGTTAGAAATATACGCAGTGCCGGCTGGAAGCAAATCTCGAGAAAGAACACTGCGCAATCCAAAGACATTGCCGATGATAATCGTAGATTTCTGGATCTCAGGAGAATTCTGGACGGTTAGGCGAGTCCACCATGCACTAAGAATGTCTCCATCACTAAGATATGGTTTGTTTTGAGGATCAGTATTCTGAGATGCCAACTCTTCCGTAGCATTATCCCTTAAACTTTTGAAGTATGAAGCTGGGAGGGATATTACTCGCATTTCTTCTTCCCGATACCAAAACATCTCAAAGAGAAAACGGAAAACGATGATGAGGAAGCGGAATCCTTTGATTTCATGCTTTACAAGTACGGATTCCTCAGTGGCAGTCGTGCCAAAGGTGGCTAAAGGGTCTTCATCGAAGCCATGGAGATCTGGCACTTGATCTTCTTGGCCATTCAGGACGGAGGACCACGCAGCGAAGAAAATCGATCTGCCCATGGCGTCCCATAGGGTATGTACCCAGGTTAAGGACACAAGAGTTGCGTCTTCGAATGTCACAATGTGAACGGAAAGCTGAGGCTCATCCGAGTAAAGGTAATCATCAAGTTGAGTTGGACCGTCAGGTCGGCGGGCAAGAGGCATAAATTCTTTAGGGCTGCCCTGTAGACAAGGAGAAGTAGTCATCTTTGGAAGCTTGGAAGCCAATGGATGGTCATTTATCTTGATATCGTAATTGACATGTGAGTAGCTAAAACCCGGCCGCTTTTCATCAAATGCGACTGGAACGTGGTATTCAAGCTTTCCAGACTTCTAGTATCTCTTATCAGTTTTAGGGTTTGTTCCAATAATCCTTGAACATGATTTACACTTAGTCGAATTCTAGCACCAAGTTTCCTCCAATTTCCTAACTCCATGAGCCTCACCAGCCCATGCCGTAGCTTCTCAGCATCCATCGCATCGTCAAATCTCAGCGTAGAGACCAATAATATCGATCGATTGACACCGGTATCATCAAAATAGTGCAGAGGAATGACAGTATCAGTTGGGACTTTGGCGGGCGCTACCCGCGGCTGGCTGAACGGCCATACCATGATGAACAGACAGACGCCGAACACTAAATGTAAGGATTGTGGCTAGAGAGGAAACCAGGAAGTCGACCCAGTGTTGTCCGATTAGAGTGTTGGCTAATAATGCAGTGCCGTGAGATGAAGCAACGATATACTACATTCTTCGACTTCATCAATGGTGTGTACACGTGTTGCTAGATATTGTACTGCCCATGTAATCGGTATACTTCCAACCAATCTCCATGCGTGCTGTTGAATTTATCCGACAGATAAGAATAAGTAAGTACCCTTCAACATCCTTAGCTGATGGGGGCATGTCCCATGGAATCGTTCATGTTACGGAGCCGATCCCCCTGTGCTTCTGGACAAAAAGGGTATGTAACGTACCCTGTCACGAGAGTCGCGAAATAAAGCCGAGATGACTGCATTGGAATTAGACCTAAAAGGTCTGTATGAGGATGTGTGTTCTCGCAAATTCTAGCCTTTCTGTTTAGTGAACATGCGTGTTGTAACTACAGTAAATAGGTAGCTTCAAGAGCGAATCGAAGTTGAGTAGCTCAATATTATTTTACGTCAACACGCCAGATAACCTTTCTTAGGACTTGCATTTATCGGTCTTAATCCTTGCTTCTCGCGTTTCAGAGCGACAGTGCGCAATTAAGCTTACTCTAACCATAGACCATCTATTGGTCTCATCCCTCTGCGTTTTGCCACAATATGCAGTTGATGTCGCCGATCCATGAATTGGATAGGGATGAATCCAGCGTCCTTTCGAAGGTTGTCGTCTGTCTTTACTTAACGTTGATAATACGAAGGCTGCTACCTTAATCACTGCAGATAATCTGCTGGACAAAAAACTACTACAGTCAGCAGACTATAATAACGCCTACGACTACTTAGGCATTATCAACAAGAGTCGGCCGCAAGTTAAAGGTATGAATTTCACAACAATATTGAAAGGGTGACAAGTTACTGCTATCCATCGAGCTCTAGAAACTTATTACGATCAAAGGTACATGCACTCTTTTTTGCTGATTCCACCGGCTTGAGAAAACCTTCCAAATTCTAGGATTCTGCTTGAGATTAAGTTAACTCTATAGAAAGCTTCTCCGGACCAAATTGGATTAGCTCATCAATTCATTTCAAAATCGTATCATACATAATGCGATCAATAAAGCTTTTGCAGGCACAGTTGCAGAGCTAGATCTCGATGTCTCCATTCGGAACTCAGAAGATAAATACGGTATACCAACAGATTACAAAGAAGTCGATATCGGCTGCTGGTATTATGTGGATGGGGAGCTTGTCCAGGCTCCAGATCCCAGAACAAAAGGTCGGAAGAAGTTAACGGCGATTGAACTGGTAAGGTGCTCCTTGACATAAAGAGGGAGATGCTAGCCTGATAATCATAATAGGATATTGCCGTGAGGGGATCTGACATAAACAGAGGTATATCTCTTCTAGTGAAATAGATATGTCAATATGGCTCTCGGAGCATGGATAATGGCACAATATAGCACTTGTTTCTTGCTCGCTGATCAAGAATCTCGGTGACCTAATATAAGGTTCAAAAGATATGTATGAGAAAAAAGGAGCCTATGGTAAAATAAAACAAGCTGTGTATTTTGAACTTCCTTCACACTGCACTCACAGTATGAGTCTGGGATAAAACAAGTACCGATATGCGATAATCGTCCCATTTCCGGCAAGTGGGGTAGTTTCCCGAGGTCTTGTGTACTAAGCAAACCCCGCAGATATTTTTCATCCCACCATCGCCAATTTGGAAAATAGAACGAACAAGTGTAAAGCAGCAAAAATTAGTGTCAAGAAGCAAAAAAGAAAAAATTATCTCCTGAGGGTTCTAGGTGTTTTCCACCCAGGGCCGTGAACTCAAGGAAGGATTATTTATATCCTCTCTGACGGGGAGTCGAACCCCGATCTCCCGCGCTTTGTCAGATGAATTTTGGAAATTCACCAACATGACAAGCGGAAATCATGACCGTTAGACCATCAAAGACTTTGCATGTATCCACCAAAAACTCATTAAAAATATCGGATAGCTAACGTCAGGTATTGTCGCCATGTTATCCTCCCACTAGTCTTTGCGCCTGAGGCTTAGTGTGCGAGTCTTGGTGCCTGAGACTTGGTGCGGGGCAATGATTCTGAAATTATTATCAAAGTTTTAACTTTTAAGAAAAAACTGGACCAGGAATCGTTTCGGGAACACCACAACTCTGGTCACAATGAAATACATCTTAGTATCCGGAGGTTAGTCATTGGTAGTTTTAAATATGAATGAATTGATTTTAAATTGATCATAGGTCTTATTTCCGGCATCGGAAAGGGAATAATTGGTATTACTTTATCTTGAAGATCATAGATCTCAATGTATTATACTAACAACCCTCGAGCTTCTAGCACAGGTCTACTACTCCAGACTTCAGGGTTGAAAGTCACAATGATAAAAATTGACCCATATCTCAATGTCGATGCAGGAACCATGGCTCCTACCGAGCATGGAGAAGTATTTGTACTTTCTGATGGCTCAGAGGTTGACCTCGATCTTGGTAATTACGAGCGATATTTAGGTATCACATTGAACCGAGACAACAATATCACTACTGGGAAGGTTTACAAGTATGTTATCGAACGCGAGAGAAGGGGAGACTATTTGGGTCGAACTGTGCAGGTAGTTCCACATCTTACAAATGCCGTACAAGAATGGATCGAGCGTGTTGCGAGAACACCGGTGGACGAGACAAATCAAGAACCGGATATATGTGTTATCGAGCTGGGAGGTACTGTGGGAGATATAGAGAGTGCACCATTTGTCGAATCTCTTAGACAACTTCGCAGACAGGCCGGGAAAGACAATTTCCTGCATATACACGTCTCTTTAATACCCGTTATCCACGGCGAACAAAAGACTAAACCAACGCAGCAGGCCATTCGTGATGTACGGAGTATGGGACTACAACCTGATCTGGTAAGCTAATATGTTCAGTAGTAATAGCTTATCTGACATTATGCAGATTGCTTGCCGGTGTACGGGCCCACTCGAGATTTCGACTATTAACAAAGTCGCTATGTTCTGCCAGGTGGAGCCTGAACAAGTCGTGAGTGTACATGACGTACCATCAACATATCGTGTTCCTGTGGTGCTTGAGAAACAAGGACTTTTCACCTCATTATCCAATATACTTCGACTTGACAGCCTGAAGATTCCTATTGAAATGGTTGAGAAAGGCCGGAGGACGTGGGATGCATGGAAAGTTCTGACATTGCCGCAACCCGGCATGATCGAGAGCGTGAATATTGTTCTGGTCGGGAAATATACCAGCTTCTTGGACTCTTACCTTTCTGTGGTCAAGTCCTTAGAGCACTGTGCTATGGCCTGCCATCGCAAGCTAGAATTGACTCTGGTTGATTCATCCCATCTAGAGGAAGAAACTCGGACCTCGAATCCACTGGACTACGAAAAGGCCTGGCAAGTGGTGCGGACGGCAGCAGGAATCCTAGTCCCAGGTGGTTTCGGTCATAGAGGGAGCGAAGGAATGATTGCAGCGGCGAAATGGGCCAGAACAAAAAGAGTTCCCTACCTCGGGATATGTTTGGGTGAGTAACATCACGGAGAAAATCGTTTCTCAAAAACTCTACTATTTGTGTCTTAGCTATCCAGGCTACGAGCATACACATCCCTTTCTATCCTGAAGTTTCAAGTACTGACATCGAGATTGAGGCTTCCAAATTGCGGTCTTGGAAGCCGCCCGCAATATATGCGATATTCCAAAAGCTAGTTCGATGGAATTTGAGGAAGGCACATCAGAACCGGTGATAATATTTATGCCCGAAATTGATCGTGCCTCGCTAGGAGGCACAATGCGTCTAGGTGCAAGACACACGATTTTCCAGCCTGGGAGTGAATGGAGCAAACTCCGGGCCCTATATGGGTCCTCTGCCTCTCCTAATCTAACAATTTCCGAGCGCCATCGCCATCGCTACGAGGTAAATCCTTCCTATGTCGAGACCTTAACAAGTCATGGTCTCGACTTCATTGGAAAAGATGAAACGGGAGAACGGATGGAGATCTTGGAACTTCGTGATCATCCGTGGTTTGTGGGTGTCCAATTTCACCCTGAGTATTTAAGCCGAGTTCTGGAGCCTAGCCGGCCTTATCTTGGCTTTCTGGCTGCCAGTGCTGGGTGTTTAGACGAAATAACGAAGAAATATGGGGGTAATAAGTCGAAGAATCCTTTGCTTAACACAACCGATGAAAATTCTGTAGTTGAAAGTCTAAGGAACGGTATAGAAGGAGTCATCATATGAGAACTGAGAGAATAAAAAAATAGGAAGTTGGGTGTTTAGCCGAAAACTGTATTATAGATTTGTGGGTTGGTTTTGAATTTTTCTAGAAAAAGATATACTGCCGTGATTTGGTTTATAGAACTCGCTAATTAGAAATATACGGATGATCAGAATCTCCTGTAGTAATTAGTTAGCAAGCAGACTGTTAATCTAGAGAATCTGATACTTTCTAGGAGCCACATTTTCCCTAGTATTCCTATGAAGATGAAAAAGTTGCTAGCAAAACGCTATATGGTACCTTTTCTAGGTTTCTAATGCATTGTATCCATTAGTATAAACTCAGGGAAAACGTCATTCGTGATGCATATTTACCTGTCGATCTGTGACTGCTATGGACTGCTAGACTGAGACAAGCCTATAACCTATCAGGGGAAGATCATTCCCGGTGCATAGATACCGTGATAACAACCGGATCTAACTTTCATACAAGATATCCAGCGTCTACCTCATCGGAGCTACTAGGCGATTAGTGGAACATGTCTCCTTATAGAGCCCACATCTCATTACAGTTATTCGGATTAGCCACGAGATAGTCCTTGTCATTTGAGTTAGCAGCATATAATATAGGACCTGGCTTGAATGGAGCACAGTAAATGAATATTAGGCGAGTAAATTGGTTAAATTCGCTATTTACGCTAAAATTTTACTATGTCCACCATACAGTTGCACGTTTCTTCGTCAGGACCCCCTACACATCAGCTACAATAACTCCTATACTAGGACCTTGCGGCCTCCAATTCCAACTCCAGTTGTCTTATTCTCTCGCTCTGGTCGCTTGTGGACTGACCGCCAACCTGCATCTTCAGTGTATCAACTTCTCTCGCGAGCAACCCAATTTTCTCGCTCTGCGCAGTGATAGTTCTAGTTTGAGCCTCAAGCATAGCCTTAATCTGTTCAAGAGTGTTTTCGACCCTACTGGTGCTATTCTCCGTGGCTTGAGAGGCTGCAGGGGTTGCGGTCTGTGAAGCTACTGGTGCTGCTGCTTTAACTGGTACAGGTTGACTGGCCGGAGAAGCTTGTGGTGGAGAGGTTACTGTGGGGGCGATGCTAACGGGAGCAGGTGTGGCCTTGGCAGCCGCAGGAACTGTCTTTTGGGTACGAACAGACACTTCATCAAAACTGGATGACTCCTCCATATCTTTGTCATCATCATCGTCATTATCCTGGAACTTGGATGCCATTGCCGAAATAGAGCCTTTCTGTTCAGCCATGCTTGGTGGAGGACCGCGTGATGTAGCAGAAACTGGAGCTTCAGGCTCTTTCTGTGGTGCTGGAGATACTGGCTTAGCCGCAGCCGCCGGTGCTGGGGCAGTAGTAGGTGGTTTATAATCTGCTGGAACTTCTTTTGGCGCATTTCCTTCGTAAATACTTTCAAGATCGATCTTAGCTGGAACGCCGTCCTTTCCAGCAAGCCAATCTGCGCCTGAAACAGCTGGCTTGAGACCAATAGCAGGGGGATAAATATCTGACTGGAAGACTTCTGCACGTCGAGGGACAGTGAAAGAGATGGGCTCAATATAGCTATCGTTGACAGTCTTGTAAGCTCTCATCACCTCGTTTTCACGGACCTGGGGAGATATTAGAATGAGACTTAGAAATTTGCACTCGTGACGCTACTCACATCCAGACCGCGTCTTGGGAGGAAGGCCATGCCACGTTGAGGATCACCAGACTTGTATTCGGACAAAAATTCAAATTTATCGTTCTCATATTCGAAATACCGAATATTGCCATCACCTTTGCCTGCAAGGTATAGACATTGGGTTCCATCGTCTAAATAGTATGTTAGCTAGAACGAAATATAACAATAACTATGAGAATCTCACCCCAGAATGGCATGCACACTCCAGAAATAGAGTCAAGGACAGTAAACCCTCCGATAGGCTCGGCTGGATTCCCTACATCCCAAAGGGCCATCTGACGGTCGCTCATCTTACTGAAACCAGTTGTAGCAAGTCGATTGTGTTCACCCATCCAAACAACACGACTGTTCTTCGCACCGGTATGCCCTGAAACTTCATGCGCTACCCGCTCCTGGCGGGTATCCCAAATACGGAGCTTCTTGTCACGGGAAGTCGTAGCCAGCATGGCTCCATTGGCGCTCCAGGATAGTGACTGGACTATATCATTGTGCTTGAGGGTCAAATGTGGAGTACCACTGGAAATATCCCATAGCTTGATAGTGTAGTCTCCAGAAGCAGAGGCGAGGATGTTTTCAGCCGCGGGGTTAAAAAGGACCTGACCAACTTTTCTACCAGATATTAGAGCTTCCCTCTGTTCAGCAATTACAAACATACCTAGAATGCCCAGAAAGTCTACTCAGCGGCTCAACATCTTGTGGTTCGTCTCCATCGTGGTATAGAGTAAACCCTTGAGGAACCTGCCATATGAACACTTTACCATCATCTGAACCGGAAGCAATGATCCGGTCGTTGAACGGATTCCTAGCTTCGATCAGCCCTCACATTCAGAAGATCAAATATAGCTGACAACCGTACCAGTCAGTGTCCAATACAGCTGCAGTGTGTCCTCGAAACAATGGAATCTGCTCAGGCAGCCTTCCCTTTTCATTGAGCGGGATTACAGCAAAAGCACCGCCACCACTCGCTTCCCAGTTCACAGCCAAATATTCGGGGTTGACCTTTGCAGCAA